AGATAATGAAATAAAAATCATATTTTTAAATTAAAAAACTTAATTTATGATTACCAGGGAAACCGAAAACATGCTCTAAAAAAAGTGTTTTAAGCGCTTTAAATATGCCGTAAAAAACTCAAAATATGCTCTTAAAATTTAAAAAATATGCTCCAAAAATAATTATTTTAAATTATATTTTAACATTGAAAAGCTTAAAAGACATATGTCATATTTCATCGTACTAGATTTTTGATAATTGATTCATCTGACAGTTTAAAGAACTAGTTTAATAGAACTCTGTTTTACGTTCAGATAACCAATAAATAACATGAAGCCATTTGGTCCCCAAAAAAAACATATTTCAAACGACAAAGTTTGACACATTTCTTCCAATTGTATTCATAGCTTCACACAGAAAAACGCCGAAACACGTGAACTTAATTTTCGGTCGTAGAATCTAGTGGCATACTCCGTTTTGAAAAGTTAGGTCAAAATCGGGAGATATTGGATTTTAAAGTTTACACTGTTTCTGAGGTGTTTTTTGATTATTTAAATTAAAAAAACTTTCACGCATAGAAAATTATGAATTAATTATGCATATACATATATTTAGGTTTTTATAATTAGTTCGTATGTCTATGCGTGAAAACTTTTTTCAAAAATTTAAAAATTAAAAAATAACCTCATAAACAGTTCATACTTTAAAACACAATATCTCCCGATTTTGACCTAAATTTTCAAAACGGAGTAAGCCACTAGATTCTACGACCCAAAATTAAGTTTAGGTGTCTCGGCGTTTTTCTGTGTCTTTTTGACATACTTACAGTGTTATCAATACTAGTTTTTTAAACGATAAAAATGGATTGGTGTCATGAAATCCAAAGTAATCGGTTTTATGTCCGATTTAAAATTTAATGCTTTATTGAATAAAAAATATAACATTGGTTTTCATGAGACTAATGTATTTTTGGAAGTTTTCAAGTTCTACAAAGAAAATAATTTTTTTCAAAATTGTAAAATAGGCTAAAAATTAAAAAAAAAAATAAATTTGATTTTTTTAGATATAGTTTTGAAAAGAAAATTAAAAATGTACAAAAATTAAAAAAAGCGAAAAACTTCATAATATGCACTAAAAGAGTAAAATATGCTCTAAAAACTCGAAAATAAGCCTTAAATATGCTACAAAAGTCAAATCATGCAAAATTATGCTCTTATGGGTAAAATATGCAAATATATGCTCTAACAAATCGATGCTAAAATTCTTAAATTGGTCTGAAACGTGTAAATATCTTATCCATGAGTCCATACGACGCACCACAAAAAACATGCATTTGCATATTTTGGTTTCCCTGATGATTACAACTTTTAAAAATAAAGGCATAAAAACCGTTTTTATAAATATTACTTTATGTCCCCTATGCAATGCCAGGAATTGTTTCTATTATTTTTTCCTATGTATAATACATAAATATGAAGTATAAAGTGTAAATAACGAAGGGAAGTAGACTTAAATACGTTTGATTTGAGATATTAATCATGAACGGGTAGTTTTTGAATGACAATAAATTTTTGTCATGCATGAAAGCAAAACAAAAGTAACAACTTTAAAAAAATTCGTAACCCTGAGAATGATGAATTGAGCTGCGCTGAATTCCAATCTGAAATAAGATTTCCATCACATCGTTTTCAAATCATCGGATTTGCATTGGTTCGATTATTCGAAATACTCGCATAAACTCATGATCGCCAATGACACGCTAATGTTAAAATCATGCATGTTTCACCTAAATTGAACCAATTCATTATCACTTGCACCTCTGATTAAACTATATCTTTGTCATGTAACTTTTTGCTGGAATATTCCGAAATATGATCCCTCCTACGAAGACAAAAAACATAACTTACTATCATATTCACATTTCTACTTAATCAGCATATGACATAGGAGAACGTCCCTGTCAAAATCTCAAGTCCATACAAAATAGAGGACATCAAAAGAGAATGCGCCAAACGGTATATAATTCGAAATGGTAAATAAATACCCGTCGAATAAAGCTTCCGTAAAGAACATATAATCACACATGTAATCATACAATCAAACGTTTATCTTTATAAATTCCCAAACATTTTAGCTGATCTACTAAGATAACAGAAGAGCCACCAACAGCGTTGCCGTTTTGGGCTTTTCCTACCAAATTTGGTAGGATTTTTTTCATTTGGTAGGATGTTAGTTTAAATCGATTTTTGTTAGTTTTGTCAAAACACATACTTTTAAAGAATATTAACAATTAATTATACACTTATTTACTGTATTAAAATATTAAAATTTGTGTATATTAAAATTTTATTACATATTTGAATCATTAAATGGTAGTGTCCGACCGAACGTTCGGGTACGGGTTCGGAGTTCGGTAAAAAGTGAGGTTCGGTCAATGTTCGGTGTTCGGCGAAATTTTGACCGAATACCGAACTCCGAACTTTTTATAAAATGTTTTTTTATCATATTTTTATATCATCAAAAAGTTTTAAAAATGCTGAAAATCTGTTTACAGAAGTTATCATACATCCTGGCTGTACAAAAAATTTCGGATATACATAGGTACAAAACGTCTTTTTAACCGTTCGTTTTTTCGGCTGATTTGAAAAACTTTTAACCAGAAACTGATTAAAAAGCTAAGAAAAGTGAAATATTTAATTTGAATTATCTAGTTTCGATTATAAATCTTTGATTTCATTTGTAACATCGAAATTTTCTAGGTTTTTATTCTCGAACGATCTAAACTGTCTGTCAGTCTCTTGAAAGAACGATAGGACCTAAACTATTGTTGCAGTTTGATTGGTATATAAAATGGACAATACAATATATATATATATATATATATATATATATCTCCCATATAAGGTTCACTTCTGAAAACCACTAAATAAATATATATATATATATATATATATATATATATATATATATATATATATATATATATATATATATATATATATATCCCATATAAGGTTCACTTCTGAAAACCACTAAATACCACATAATTTATTATTTAACTCGACATGAGTATGTTCTGCATATAGATAAATCATTTTTATTTCTTTGGACTTGCTCCATTACTGGTCATAGCTCCCATATAGGTTATCGACAGGATCGGTACATAATAGGTCATAGAATAATCGGTCAGTATCTGAAAATAAATAAATACAAATGTTTCTGGGCCTAATCATAATTAGTTACATACATACATACATACATACATACATACATACATACATACATACATACATACATACATACATACATACATACATACATACATACATACATACATACATACATACATACATACATACCTAAAGAAGTTACACAATGATAAATAGTATCTTTATTACGGTAACAAAACATATGGCGGGTTTTACAGTTCTCCGTAAGGGAAATAAAGTACTTTAGTACTAAAGTACATACTTAAGTAAAATTTCTAAAAATGTAGCTTGCAGGTGGAGGGTTTTTAGGAATCGGCGTAGCGGAATATAGCATTCTAACTTGTTTTACAATTTATTTAATTACATAGTACCTCAATTACTTCAACTACTACATCATAGAAAACTATTAGTATTTAGTACTACATTGTATCTCTTACTATTATTTTTGTTATAAGGCAAATATTTACATATGTACATATATTCAAACATTTATAAATTTTTATATTAACTAAAAGTATATTACTCTTTTACTTGATTTGGCTAAGGCCTTTAACTCGATAATTTTTTTTAATATGATATGTAAATTGCGAGATATATTTAAGTTCTCCTCTACTGCATGTAAGCTTATTTTTTCCTATCTTACAGGTAGATATCAATTTGTTGATGTTAATGGCCACTTTTCGAATATCAGTTTTGGGGCCACTTCTTTTTATCTTATATATTAATGATTTGCCAATGAGTATTAACTCGGATTATTGCAAATCTTTTTTATATGCAGATGATGTGATGCTCTTATTTAGTGTAAATAAAAATGATTTTAATAAACTTTCTTCTGATATTAACTATACTCTAAATCGTTTTTTACATTGGTCATCTGAAAACTCCTTGGTCATTAACTCAACAAAAACTAAAGCACTATCTTTTGGAAATAATGGAGAGGATTTAAATATTTATATTGCTGGTTCACCTGTATCGTTTGTTAATCAACTAAGATGTTTAGGTATTCATATCGATAATCGCTTAAATTTTGCAAATTTTTTCTCTCATTTAATGTCAATTATATTGTATGGTCTCGAGATTGTGTCAGGAACTTTTTCATATTTTATTACAAAATTAAATAGAATTGTAAATACGATTGTTAGATATGTTTTTTATCTCCGAAGACGTGAACATATTTCTGACTATGTCAAACGTTTTCTTGGTTGTTCTTTTCTGAATTTTATACGCTATCGTAACTTATTATTTTTTTATAGAGTCATTAAGATTGGATTACCCACATTACTATGTTCTAAATTCTCTTTTACACATTCTATTAGGAACCCGCAAATTTTAATACCAAGGATTTCTTTAGTTGTATTTGAACAATCTTTTTTAGTTAGAATAGCTAGATATTGGAATTATATACCTCTAGAACTAAGAGTATTTTCCCATTCCAATAATGCTTTCCAGCTCAAACTCATGAGCTTTCTCGTCTCTAACTAACTTGTTACGAGTTTTTCTATACCATAATTTTTAATTATATTTTTCGAATAATTTGTCCATACTTTATCACTGCTGGGATCTGTCTTTTTAAATTCTAATACTACATTGTTTATTACCATTGGTTTGGGAACCAATATAATAATGGAGCGCATTTATAAATTTATAAAATAAATTACCATTATAATATTTATATTTATAATTTTTTATTTAGGATTACTGCCTTGTAATATATAAATATTTATTGGCCAATAGTGGCTTTTTATATTACTATGAATAAAATTAAAATAAAAATAAAATAAAAGTATATTAAAATTTTGTCTTAATTGTAGGTTTATTATCTTCCTCCAATTCTGCCAACAATGTAGGCAGCCAGAAATCTAAGGACCAACAACGTATTCAGTCATCAGTTGCTCCGTGGTCCACCCAAACCATGACAACAAAATCCCAAGGACCAGGTTTGGCTGAAATACAAAAGGCAGAGATACGCGAACGTCGTGCGGACCAACAACGCCAATTAGAAATTCAAGAAAAGCAGATGCGTGCTCATGAAACTCAAGATACAGTTTTGAAGTGGAATGCTGCACCTGTGCCTGTTAAAAGTTTTGCTGAAATTCAAGCTGAGGAGGCGAAACGTTTGGCTCACGAACAAATGGAATTGCAAAGGCGTAAAGAACAAGAAGCACACAATAATCTCGTCGCCTTTAATTCTGCTGGTACTACCGCCGCAGGGGGTCTTAATAGTTCATCGAATATTTCGAGCATTTGGAGTGGTAATAAAATTTGGGGAACATCTACCAATGCTACTGGCTTTTGGGAAGAACCACTTAAATTTAATAATAAATCAATGACTTCTGGTTTATCCAATAACAATGTAAACAATAATAGTAATGTAACAGGTGCTTCAATTATATCACAATCATCGAATTTGCAACAAAAGCAAACAACTTCTCAGCAGCAACAACAACAACCTTCTTCATCCCAACAGTCTTTAAATAAGAACGTCAAAAAAAGTCCAAGCGTTGCAGTAGGGCAAAATACAATATCCTCACCAACAGGTAGCACATCAGGCGGCTCAAACCCTCAAAGAAAACCGTCAAACAATGCTGTACCAGCTACTAAGCAAGTAAAGTCTCAAAAAGCCGATAATAATGGTGCAGTTTGTGGAAATAATGAAAATAAGAAATCTACTGTTAAAAACAGCAATAATACTAATAAGATTGATGATTACGAAGCAGAATTTACCAATTGGTGTACAAAAAGCTTAAATAATATGAACACAAAAGTAGACGGTAATTATTTTTAAGAATATTATATTAAGAATACTTAATTAAATGTATGTTTTTTTATAGTGCCTACATTTGTCTCCTTTTTAAGGGACTTGGAGTCACCCTATGAAGTAAAAGATTACATTCGCATGTATTTAGGTAAATAAATTTATTTTTTTTTTGTCTTATATTTCTTTCGAGATTTACATATAACTTTTTTCTTTTTTCCATTCAGGTGAAAGTAAAGAATATATAGATTTCGCCAAGCAATTTTTGGAACGTAGAAGCAAATATAAAAACCTACAACGCGCACAAAATGCTCATGACGATGATTTATGTAAGCCTGCCCAGGCTATAACTCCGTCAGTCAATGATAACAGTGAGAATAAGGTATTTATCAAACTAGGAATTTTGTTTATTTTATACCCATCATCTTCATGACAAGGCTATATATAAGTTTGTCATTCCGTTTATAATTTCTATACTATATTTTTCCTATGCAGTATATATTCTGGATCGTTGTAGATAGCAGATTCATCAAGCCATGTCCGTCTGCCTTTATGTTTATTGAAATCAATTTGAATACCCCAGATATCTTCGGATCCAAATATTCTGTCCTGAAGTTTCCTATTTAAAATCAGCAAAATCGGTCTATAAATAACGGAGATATAAGCAAAAATTACAGACAACCTTTTTCGGCGTCAATCTGATATGGTTCAAAGTAAATACGCAAAATTAATAAAAAGGAGACGATTTGTCTTCCCTTTTTTATTATTTTACCTTAAACATTTTACCTTCATAATGATAAGAGCTATTAACTAATTAATTCTCAATTTAAACACCGCGGATTACTCGTTTAAATTAATATAGTATTCCATCAAAAATGTTAACTAAATCATTAGGATTTACACTTAGAGAAAAATACTGCAAATAATCATTCATATTTAACACAACCTATAATTTTGGGGCATTCAGACGCATACAGCTTAATAGGATATATGTTGTTATTGTACGATAGGTTACGTATGAAGTATGTTGTTATTGGTTTGTTATTTCCAAAGTCGAAGAAATTGGAGAAAAAAAAACATTAAATTTAATTCTAAAAAAAATATATTTATTTAAGTAAAAAAAAAACTCAGCCTAGTTGAGTTCGGTTTCAGTTGAATGATTCAAAATTTTATTTTGATTTTATTTATATAAGTCACATTACAATGTTAGTTCGGGAGATTTAGACTCGTCCATAGGCTCTGAACATACCGACTAGTACAAAATAGAACTTGTAATAGTTTGTAACGTACTTGTAGTAGTTCCAGTAACAATTGTTACTAATTACACTGAAAATAATCCATGCTCAACTTTACGAAAAAAAATTTCATAACTTCTTTTTTCGTAATATTTACAAAAATTTCGTGTATAATACGAAATATTATTTAATAAGACCCTTTTCTATTTTTACGAAAGTACGAGAACCTTTCGTAATATTTTTTTCTTAAATTTTAGCGAAATTAAACATAATTATATTATCGTTAAATAAAATTACAACATTTTTATACAAATTAAGAAAAAGTATAATATAATTCACGAACTATTTTCATAAAAAAATTAAAAATTCGTGTGGAGAATAATTTTCAACTAAAATTAGAAAAATTATTTTAAAATGAACAAAAATGTTTGCATAAATTAATATTTCGTAAATTTTACCATATTTATTCAAAACTCATAAATTAATATTTCGTAAATTTTACCATATTTATTCAAAATTCACTTTTTTAAATTTGTTTAAATTAATTTTTCCAAGATTATTTTGCATTATACTAAAATATTTCGTACAATTTCATATATATTACGAAAGAATTTATTGGTGCGAAACAACGAACGATTCGTACAATGTACGACATTTTTCGTATATATTGGGCATGGATTTTTTTCAGTGTAGTAATAAATAGTAACAACTTTTAGTTATTGAACACAGCTACTACAAGTAATTAATTTTTTTTTTATCAAATTAAATTAATTAATGTTAAAAAGAAGCAAAAAAATTCCGGTTTTTTAACTATTAAGAAAAATATTATTACATATATAATCCACATGGGATATAAAACCTATGTGGATTTTTTATTTTGGGCTTCTAAGTCCAGAAAAATAATCAAACAACCTGTTACAAAAATAAAATGTGATTTAGTTTTCATAATAAAGCATTTAAGTTGAAATTGTACCTTGCCTCAAATATACTTAAGCCATTTATTGTTGAATAAAATTGTGGACATTTAAGTCAAATTTTGAAGGGAGCTTTGTATAGGGGCTATGGTCAAATTATAATTATAAAATTCATGAGAGTCATCAAGGCTAGTATAAAACTTGGTTTTGCAGCTTTTTGTCGAGATACGAGTATATTAAACATAATTATGAACTTAAAAGCCCTATTCGTCGGGTTCAGTTGTATGGGGGCTAGGTGAAATAATGGACCGATGTCAACCATTTTCAATAGGCATCGTCTCCGGTACCATGCCAAATTTTATTGAATTATCTTCAAAATTGCGATAATTGAATTATCTTCTGAGAGAAAAAAAGCCAGATGAAATACATTACAAGAAAACGGATCAAAAGAAATATGTATATGAACAGGATAAGGAGCAAAACTATGAATAGTACACTAAAATAAAAAACGGACTAATGGATAACTATGATAAAACCAAAAGTGCCCAAGGACAAAAACAAATCTCTCCCCCACTATCAGTATGCAATTTCATCAGACATAAAGAATATATCCTCAATCCATACGTTAAACTCACCCCTAGTTCCATAGATATCAATGAAATATTAATACTCTCCAAAATTAAAACAAAAAACCACGAAAGTTTTATCCCAAGTCAAACCCCTAACGCGAATTGCCGACAACCAACACCATATTCAGTCAACACAATAGAGCAACAACATCCTTCTCATTATTTTGGAATGTTGCAAACAAGTATCAAGCGAAAATGGTCGAGACAAGAATCATCATGCACCCGCAATACCAAAAATCACACATCACCTGTACTCACCATGAAAAACAAAAAATATACAAAAGAAAAATTAGACAATATCAGAATGGATTACTATTTCCCTCCATACATCCAAAATAAGAAGTTTGATCCTGTTAATAACATTTCAATTTAGAATCAGGGACCGTAACAGTTATAAGTTATATTAAAAAAAGTTAATTTATAACAGTTATTATGTGACTTTAAAAATAAAAATCCATATGAAAAAGTTATTTTTAAACCTAAAAATAAAAATTCAAATGAAATTTAAAAAAAAAGAGTTTTATTTTTCCGTCATAAAATAAAAATTATATGAGGAGTTTTGTTGTTTCCGTCAGAAAATAATACTCATTTTCAATAATAATGCTTTCAGAAGAAATTAAAAAAGGTTGTGTTCAGTCACAACAGAAAAATTACCATTTGCCGTTTTTGATTCTGATGTTTTTAACGTCAGTACAAATCAACTATTTAATGGACTTGATCAGATATACAAATAAAATAAGAGACCGAAAAAATATATAAAAACATTGTTAATTGTTTGACTGGGAAAACAAAACTCCCCAAATGAGTTTTATTTTCTGATGGAAAAAATAAAACACCTCAAATAACTTTTATTTTATGACGGAAAAATAAAACTCATATTTTAACTGTTTCAATCAGACTTTTATTTTTCCGTTAAAAAATAACTGTTATTTGTGGAGCTAAGATAGTTTTTTTAAATCACCATATATTCTGAAAAAGCACTTCAATACGTGTATATTGGTATATAATAGTATAGATCTACGTTGACTGCAATATAGAGGTTTTTTGGGTTAAAAATTTCAGAATAACTGTTATTTACAGTCCCTGTTTAGAATACTTGAAAATAAACAATCAAAACAATTACACTACACAACAAAAATTAATAAACCTTTTATTGTATTGTTTATTATACATTTTTTTTAAACATGTTAAATTTAGAATTAAATAATAAACAATCTTAATTTAATGTATATTATGACTAACTTCTTTTTATTCCACGAAAAGTTAATTACACATGTAGTTAGGGAATCATTTTAGGGCTATCTTTGAATTTTGTTATAAGATAGTAAGGTAGGGAGGGCCTAGACAGAGAAGTAATGTCACCAACTTCTCCTGTGATTTCTTTATTTTTGTTTTGGTTAATATATTGAAGCTACTTTTTTAAGTTAATGTGCGGTTCTTAGCCTATATTGATGGAGACAAGAACACAACCCCAAACCCTGGGAACGGTCGGAATTATAGGTACCGCAAGTCTCCTGAAGGGTAGGGCACATCGCCTGAACCGTAACAATCCCAATAACCCTTTCACGCACAAAACTAAAACGCCGGACTTTTATTTTGACGTATATTGATCATTTTGGATGAAAAGTGGAAAAAGTATTTTTATCGCGGATAAGGATAATATCGTCGTAGTATAAAATTCTGAAATAAAAATAAAATTCTAAAAATTCTTTAATAGAAATTAGTTTATTGTAGCTGTGAACTCAAAATTATGCTCTACATCGAGAAAAATTAAAAAAATCGTGGGACACCGATTTTTGGGCCAAATTTCGAGCAATATTTCGCTATTTTGCAATTTGACCCATTCTTGGTGGTCAAAAAGGGGCTTAAATATCAAAGTATATTGATGGACTTGTGAAATAATGCTAAAATAAGTTAAATTTAACACAAAATGTTTACAAAATCTAAAAAATTTTAAAATTCAGTTTGAATTGTAGGTAGTTTACTGGTACGTAAGTTTAGATAAAATGCATATTAAAACATCAGAAAGAATATTTTTGATAATTTTTTTCATAAAATAAACGTATTAGATTTTAGAAAAGAAAATGAAATAAAAAACATATTTTATTTTCCTCATTTAAAATCGTTCTGTTTTATTTTTTGTAATAGATCGTATTGGGTCTATATACTTGTATTAATTCCCAAACAGTGCTATACCTAAATTTAAAATTAATTTTCGAAATTTTTACATATCTTGAAATTTTAGTGTTAAATCCAACTTATTTTACCTGACCATCAAGATACTTTGATATTTAAGCCCCTTTTTAATCACCAAGAACGGGTTGAGTTGCCAAAATGTGAAATATTGCTCAAAATCTGGGCCAAAAATCGGTGTATTGTCGTTATCTATAAGCGGATTAAAACTTCTTCGGATCGAAATCTTGTCAAGAACTAATTTTTTAAATAATTTAACAATATAAAGCAATTTCTTTCACTGTTTTAACTTTTCTTTTAAGAAAATTTGAAAGTCGTGGCTCCAATTCAGCCGTCAGAGCTCATATTGTCAATCAGGCTTTGAAAAAAACACACGTTAACATAAAGAACCGAGGAAACAGTATATTTTGA